CACACACACACACACACACACACACACACACACACACACACACACACGTACGACGCCGGCCCTCTGAAGCAGGCTAATTATTTCCGTTAGCGGGCTGGATCTCCAGCTGAGGGTTGGGAAGAGCTTTGAAGAGAAGCTAGAGGACAGTTAACCGGTCAGAGTCCCCACTCAGGCGGTCTGAGGCGTTCACTGACCGTAGGATCCACGGACGGCCGTGTGAGGGATGCCGGGAGTTTACGTCTCCCTGAGAGGTAGAGGTAACCCTAAACCCTAACCCTAACCCTAACCCTTACCCTAACCCATGATTATCTGAGTCATTCAGAACTGGTCTTCAAAGCAGACGTAATGTGTCTTTAATCCTTTGAAAAACTGAAAACTTGTTTAATATACATATCATCACTTTAAGAACCCAATTTTAGGTTCATAATTTGAACCTTAAGATTAAAACAAATTTGATGACGAAATGAAACCAGAAGAGAAAGTGGGAAGATGTTCATGATGTCTATTTCTTACCTTAAAATAACGCTCGGATCTGTTTAGGGCCCTTTAAATAACATTTTAAAGGTTTCCTTCAAAGTTTTTTTTGCTACATTTATGACCCATCCTGAGCAGACCACACCTGTCACTTCAACCATAAAACCCTCACCAGGAAGTGAAACGCCGTATCACAACTCCTCTAATTTAATGAAACCACAACACAGTTGGTTGACTGTGGACACGGCAAAACGCTCGGCAGACATTGAGGATTTTCTGACGGAGTGCATGCACGTGCGCAAAAAAAAGAGCTGTCCACAGACTTACTTAAAAAGTCGATTAAAAAAAATGTCGTGATGTGTTTCATTGAATATTTGAATGAATATTTGAGGATTTTTTTGTTCTGTATGTCTAATCTCTGGTGACTTAATTTCCTCTTGTAGTTCGTAAAATCATCTTTGTTTTTCTTTTTTATTTGAGGCCGTAAGGGGAATTGTTTTACGACAAATTACTGCCTTTGCTGCATCTGACAATATTATACTGCAAGTATGGTTTAAATTGCTGCTGGATCTGTTTCTGTTCTGCTTTTTCATTAAAGTGCTTGTGTTAAGCCTCAAAAAGAAAAACAAAAAAAAAAAAACAAAAAAAAATGTTGTGAGCATTTTCAGGCTATGAACACAGTTATTCAGCCTCGGTTACTTGGAGCTTGATGTCAGCATCCTGTGGGTCTGTGTGTGGGTCTGTGTGTGAGTGTCGGTCACCTGTTGGTCTTCCAGATATGCAGCGTCTCCTCGTCCACGTTCTCGTGCCGGTGCGCCTGCTCGTCCAGGAAGTCGAAGAAGTACTTGACGGCGGGCGGGACGATGGAGCTGGAGCACAGCACGCTGCGGAAGAAGTCGTCCACAAACTGCTGCAGAGTGCCCTAAAGCACACAGAACCAGCCAGTCAGAGGGATTTCAACGTGTGGAAGCAGCCAGGGAGGCTATAATGACTCCCTTTAGCATTGTATGCTAACACATAATCCGTGTAGATAACGGATTGTTTTTATTCCTTTTGGAACTATATTTTTTGTGTCAAATTATCAAGCTGTAACCACAGATTCTTTCTTTTCTCTGTTGCATTAAACAAAAGTCTTTCATTTCAACACACACACACTTTGTTACCACATTCCAATCGGACATCTGCATGAATTAGGACCTGGCCTGTTCGGGTAATTTTCCTACTTTTGGTCTACTCTGGTTTATCCTGGGGTTTCCAGCTAAAAAAAAAAGAGGCTAACGGAGGCGCGGCAGTACCTTGACGGACAACAGCCGGGTCAGGTAGATCTCGGTGATGGCTTTGGTCATGGCCTTGTCCTTCATGCTGCCCCTCTTGGACTTGCCCTCGTCCAGCTCGTCGGCGGGCCGCACCAGGTGGTAGGTGTTGTCGTCCTCCAGCAGCGCGTTCTCTGCACCGGAGAGGAGAGGGCCGTCAGATTGTGTGGACATGTGCGGACAGTCCGGCCGGGCTGGTGCAGGACGGAAGCTTTAGGACCATGTTCGGACTTTTTGATTCCAAAAGGAAGCAACAGGATAGCAATCATGTGGTGTTGAGGTTCTTACCAACCAGGAAATGTAGTGGATAGAGCTGTTCATCTGTAGAAATGGCCTTCGTTTTTGGGCAGCTTTCATAAACCCAATGTGTAAATTCTACATTAGATCAGTACTTTTAGTTAATGTATTGAAGCAATTACAAAAAAAAATAAAAAATCTGACTTATGCATAAATGTATAGCAGTGTTTTCCCTTTTTGTGAATTTGTGGTCAGAATTTAAAGTAAATTCTGTTGCATATGCAGATTATTTTGTACATAGCGTTAAAATTTACAACATTTCTGAAATATTTAACAAAAATCCAGCAGATATAGAGCGTACTACCATCAAACTATTATTATTATCATCAATCTTACAATGTACATGAGGTTAATGATGAACCTTCATTGATTCCAGGGTTTCATGTGTGTGTCTGGCTTTTAGAAACAACTCAAACAGCCCAAAAAAAAATCTTAAAAATTCAGAGTTTGGATATTTTAGCTGTACGGAGACCTTTGGTTGCTCTTTCTTTCTGTACGGAGACTGATCTTGGCTAAGCAGCAAAAGCCAAACAACAAGCTAAATCAAAGGTGGAAACAGTTTAAATAAATGACTCGGCTTCTTTTTTTGCAGATTTTCCACAAAAACGGGTTAAAAAAAGTGGAATTTCTATTTTTCCTTTATGTCAACAGAACTATCAGACCTATTTAAGTGTGTGTGTTTGTGTGTGTGTGTGTGCATACTCTCGTCATGGCTGTCCTGGTGCTGATGAAACGACTGCGTGTGCAAAACTCTGGACAGAACCAATGTGGCATTATCCCGGACCTAGAAGATAAAAAAAAAAGAATCAGTAAAAAAAACAGTCAGAAAAGTGTGAATAAATCCACTTTTTCTGTAACTGCACGCAGTTATTAAAGGGATAAAAATAAATAAAAAGTCTGCCTTTGAATTGATCATTCTCCTCAGAAAGTCTGGACTGCAGGAGTGATTTATTTTCTGCAGGTTTTCTCGAGTGGCCCAACGTTTGAGCCGGTTTGGTGCCGATGAAAAGGTCTCAGCTCACAGAAAAACGGATGGAGATCATCCAGGGAGAGCAGGGGGGTCCTGAAGATAAGCCCGGGGGCTTCACAAACCACGCCGATAGCTCCGGCTGGACGAATCTGACACGCTGGAAAAAGGGACTCCGGAAACAACCGAGGGGTACACAGGAACAGCTCGTTCCTTTATTTTACGCAGCTATAGTGGAGCTAAAAAAGACCCAGGCTGGCTGATTAGAAAAAACTAACCATCAGACTAACACTAGCACACACTAGATAACCTCATAAAAAAAGTCTGTTCTACAAGGCTAACACCTCATATCTAAAGACCTTCTCATTTACTTTTAGTCACAGACTTTGTGAACACTTCAGATCTCACAGGGCCGTCTTTTCTCAGATTATTTCCCCGTTTTGCAACTCCTAGAGATTCTTGGCAACGTTTCCGGTGCAAAATAAAGGAAAAAGCACAGGCTTTTGTTTCCCTTACGGCCTTATTCCCCTCATCCATCTGAAGTTTCCTGAACTTCCCGTTTAGAAGAGACAAAACTCCACATGTGGGTTGGAAACGCAGGAAGAGACACTGGAAAACTCTCTAAAGATTTGAAATCAAGCCAAAAATCATCCCGGTACAGCAATTTTGACTTTATCTTCAAATAATTTGATCTATTAAGTGTCTGACATGGGAAATATTTAGTCTCCATCTTCGCTTTTATTTACAGAATTAGTCCTTTTCTTGCGGTCAACATTAGAATATTCGTCCGTGACTTATCCCAGAGTTCTGGGCATTTTTAGTGGTTTAAGATGAATGTAGGAAATTCCGACCTGAGTCTGAGTGGCACAGCAACAGCAGCAGTAATTCATCATCTGCTCTGGACTTTTTGAATTATGACGTCCAGAGCATGAAAGTGGCCTCCGGGCAGACCGGGGAGCCTCCACAGAGACCAAAACTCTGTAATTTGGCTTTGGAATAACTCCGAAAAGAGTTGGAACTCTGCCCCCGTGACTCAGACCCCCATAAGTCCCACCCAACGCACGAAACACTAAATCTGAAGATTTTTGGCAATCTCTTTAGGAGGAATGTGCTGAGTGGAACAGGCAGTGGCTCGGTTTAGTCCAAAAATAACACTCCGAAAACAAAATGATAAGCTCATGTAGATAGCATATAATAACAGTAAAACATCAAAGGCTTCAGAAAGCTCAGAATACTCGATGAGCACAGTTACTGCAGGCCAAACAAGATCGAAATTATCAATTGGACCATTTGCAATGTCGGCCTCCCATGAATCCAAACCCGCCTTCCTGTTTTTTAAATGCAGCTCCTAAACACTTATTTTATTCTTCACCTGTTAACCAGCCAAAAAAAGCAGAATATTTTATGCCTTTTTCTAAGTTCAGTACAGAATATGTGGGATATTTAAAATAAATCATTCTTTGGGTAACTTGGTTGAGTTTTTTGTTGTTGTTTTTTTTCTAAGATGGGATGAAACCAAGAAATCTTGTTATGAATGAGAATTTGCCAATGTTAAAACTAGATAGAAGTTTGAATAACTTCCGTCTTTGTCAGACAAAATGTTTCCAGGAATTTTCTTCCAGTTTTGTCACTTGGAGCGACTCGATTTGCCAGAAAAATAAACCCGGCTTTGTTTTTTCTAATTTATTCTCTTCCACAATTGTGGTCATTACGGGATTTTTCTCCTTATCTGAAGTCTGGTTTTAGAAATTCTGGGCATATTCTGTTCTGCGGACTGTAAAGCCCTCGGAGGCTAATTGGAGCACGGGACGGTTAAAATCCCTCGGCTGTAGAGTAGAAACTGCCCCGGGTATTTAGTGAATGAGGCTTGATTAAGCCTCATTTGGAGGGGATCAGCCTGACGCCGTAATTGAACTCTTTCTGCACGCCATCTATGACGGACGGTCACTCTACCGGCTAAAGTAATGAGAGGAAACTGTTTTTCTGGACTCACGTTATAATGAGCCAAGGTGTTGAGCCTCTTCCAGCGTCCTTCTTTCTGCGAGGTGAGGTCCAGGTCAGACAGGATCTGACCCGTGGAGCCAGGACGCCACTCTGTTGACGTGACGCATTTATTTTTTAATATTTTTTATTTTTATTTTTTTCAAACATTTTCATTAGTTAGTGTGTTTTCACAAACAGAGAAAAAAATAATAATAAAAATTGTAAACTGTGCAAGCAGTTACCTTACATGAGTATGGGACATGAAAAAAAAAACCAACAGAAGAAAACAAACAAACACAAAGGGCAACATAAAAAAATAAATACATTTTTTTAAAAAAAAAGTTGCATTTATTATAAGACGTAGATAATTATGGGGACGATGGGGAAAACAATAACAAACATTCATTACCAAAGCCCCTCTGCTCTCTCTGTACTGTTGTTTAATGCTCAATACCATCCAAATAAACAGCATTTTTCACCATAATACCAATTAAAGAAGTTTTTTTTTGCTGTGGATACTTCATTTTCCATTCTGAGGTATGAGAATACAAGAGAACACATCTCTTTGCAATGCAACTATAGGAGGAAATCCTCCGGAGAGCATTTTACTAAGATATTAACATAGTACATACCAGGCAAATGAGATGCCTTTGTTGTATATAAATATTCATAATTTCCGTTAGTATAACAGAATGATTGAAATTTATGTAGAAATATGGATGAATAGTTTGTGTATGATGAGCTTAAATGGTGTGTTTGGGACTCACCGAGTGCTACACTCTCCACTTTAGGCCTCTGGGAGTACGGCAGGTTCCTGTACACCTGCTCGATGATCTTCTCTTTCACCTGCAGGCAGAAAAACTATTTGAACATGTCGGCAGAAAGTTGGATACATAATGAAACCTGTTCCACAGTCCAGTAGTGAATGAATAAATACATTTTTTTATTGTTCTGGACACTGACATTATCACTTATTTTAGATCTGTATATATACATATGGATATATTTATTGATATTTTTGTGTGGAATGCAATATATATATATATATATATATATATATATATATGCTGCTGTATATCTGGAGTTGGTAACAAAAATGATTTCCCTCTGGGATTATTAAAGTATTTCTGATTCAGATAAAAACTCTGTATTCAGGGGAACGATAAGTTGCACGTTGAATGTTAGGGGGGGGACTCTCCGAGTTCCTCTTTACTGCTTTGATCTTCTTGTCAGTTTTTAAAATTATCCCAAAGAGGTTAAACGGACTCTGGGTAACAGCTGGTGACTGATTGGACAAATTCTTCCACAGATAAACCCGACCCTTCGGTCCTCTTACAGGACCAAGTCGTTTCCACTAAGCAGCCCCCCCCGCACTGCCATACAACCCCCTCCGTGCCTTACTGCTTGAATCCAAAAATCAGGATAAAGTGTGTTCTTTTCTTCCATTTCCCACTTCTTTTGCTCTTTTGTTAAACATTGATGAGAGAGAAAAAATAAAGCTCTTCGATGGGATCCGGCTACTGTGAGTTCTGTGTGTGTTCTGCTGTAATCCAGCTGGAGAGGACATCGATTTCTCCGTATTTTTGTAATTTCTCAATACAGGGCATTTCGATGTTTCTCGGTCTGTCCGCCAGTTCACCTCTCAGGGCTATTTGCTCTTTGTTTTGATAATCCAACCACAAACGAGAAACAATTCCACTAAAAATATTGAAGGATGTTGCCTTCGTGCTGTTATAAAAAAAAAAAGGAATGTTTTACTTATCAGATCCAATAAAGATTTCTGCAGAGCATCCGGAAATGTGGACAGCGATTGGTGGAAACTATTGCCTGAAACCCTCTTTCTTTACGGAACAGCTCTCCAGGGTTCTGGAAGGACGTCCCAAAGCTCTCCTTTAAATGTCGGCTGCCTTTTTTTTTTTTTTTTTTTGCGCTCAGATGACCCCACGCTGCCTCAGTGTGTTTGAAAACCGTTTCTTTACTAAGTTGTCTGCTAGAAAACTACGGTTCCTCCCTGGAGACGGAGCCATTTTATGCTCCAGAGAGAGAGTCATAGTTCAGTGTTAAGAAGCTTACAATAACAAAAACAACAACATCCTTTCTTCCTGAAGGACTGGACAAAAAAAAAAAAAAAAGTGCGATTCCCAAAGATGAACCACTGGGACTCATTGATGGAAACAAATGTCAGGATTTTGTTTTTCTCTTTTCTGTTTTTTCCTGTATGAGCAGATGGACTCGCATTCGTCATTTCTATAACGCTGGCAGGCAAGACGAGGAGAAAACACGACGACAAATGACAGGAAATAAAGCCCATACATCTGAGAGAAGCACTGTTGTCTAGGATTTCCTGTCAAGTAAAAAAAAAAAACTAAAGTCCAGACCATTTTCCCCTGGAGATCTCATCAATGGACTTTAAAAAAAATCCCCTAATGGAGGAATTTAACCGGCTGAAAAGTGTCTTCAAATCCCCGTGAATGGGAACTCACCTGTGTGATGGAGTCACAGTTCAGGACCTTGACCGGGGTCACGTCCGGCCCCTCCCCGTGCACCAGCACCTGCAGAGTCTGTCGGACAGAAAGAAGAAGCTAACACCCGTTTCTAAGCCTTATACAAGCAGAAAACTCCCCTACGGAATGGAGAGCCCACAGCTACGGTGGTCAAAACTTCCCTTAGCTAACAGATCATTCAGACCTGGCTATGACCCCTCCCCCTCACGAAGGCTAGATAGCCGTATTGGTTGGAGCCCACTGTGGGAGAACGCCACAGAGAGAGCTTCAGATAGAACTTATCAGCAGGCCGCAGGAGTTCAGGGGCCCAAAAAAACCGATGGGTCCAGTGGGTCCAAGTGGGGCCACTTGGGGCCACGGTTTTTTTATTTTTCCTAAACGCGCCGGCTTTGTGCAGGAGCAGACAAAGCCGGAGGAGTTTGGGGGTAAAGCGGCGGCCGTTTGCCGGCCACGTGCAATTCTGCCGAGGCTCTCTCTCTCGAAGATCAGAGGGAAGGAAAAGCATATTAGTTTATGCAAAATACTGCAAAACTTGATTCGGAGGGAAAGGAATAAGCGGCTGGGAACAGAGAACTTTGGGCAGCTGTGGAGAAACCAGAAAAACAAAAAACTCTTGGCATGTGGGAGCCGTTTTACCGTCTAACTACAGACGGGGACTTTCCTCCATCCCCATCTGTCCCAGATCCAGTCCCAACTAACGTTCTTCACGGTCGAAATCGAAATAAAGGAAAAGACGAGCTCGTTCCGGCAGAACCGAAGGCCCCGGGGGGCCGGAGCGTGCACTGACCAGCACGGAGTACTCCACGTCGTCGCCCAGCAGCCCCGTGTCGTTCAGCGTGTACTTGGCCTTCTTCAGCTTCCCGTCCACCGGCCCCTTCTCCACCTGGTGCTTCAGGGCCTTGTACAGCTTATATAGGGGCTCTCCGGCTGTGTCCTGTAACAGAGACACTCTAAAGTTAGACCCAAGAGTCTCTGACGGAGCAAAAAAGACCCTGCTGACCGGAAAAAAACGGCATGTCCAGGAACTAAACGACACAATCTTCTTTTTTAAATAAGACGAAGACCTTAGAGTTTATCAAAGAAGGCTCAAAAATCGAAACTTGACTTAAATGATTACAAAGTCATGACAAACATCGGTGGTGAAAGCTCAATCTGAAGCCCATGAGTGAGGAGTTCAGCTTCAAAATCTACTTCTCCCATTTGCTCAAACAAAACACAGACGGCACAAATTAAACACACCACCCGCACACACAGATAGGCAAAGGGAAGGATTCCCGAGTCGATTATAAATGATAGAACACAGAAGACGAGAAAAGTTAGGGAGGAGAGGCCGATCGAAGCAAAAGAGAAATAAAAACAAATCGAATGAGTGGAAGCAGTCGGTCGGATTCCGCGTTACCCGGAGGAACTGGTACAAGCAGATGGACATCCAATTACAGAGCATCCTCTCCACCACCGTCTCCGACCTGAACACACGCGAGAGACAACAAACACAAACATCAGAGCGGCACAAACACCTAGCCAGCCCCCCCCATTCCACCACATTAAACGCGTAAAAAGATGTTTCTCATTCAGTCAGGCCAGGTTTATCCTCCTAACGTCCACATTTCTGTCCACTCTGACGGAATTCACACACTACTTAGAGCTCCACGGGTTGGAAACACATAAATACAGTCTTTATCTTTTAATGGGGAAGATGGCAAACAAAAAGCAAAGGCCAGAATCACAGCAGATAACGATCACGGCCGGGGTGGAAATGGGATTCCCACCTCCTGAGCATGAGTTTGGGGTTTTTGTTCTGCACGTGCTCGTCCATCAGCTCCAGGAGCAGCGTCCTCATGATGTCCGTGTAGTACTCCAGCTTGCCGTGCAGCGCCACGGTCAGCAGGGAGGCGAAGTAGCCGCGGGCCCGCGCGTTAAAGTCCGGCCGGCTCTCCAGCGTGTGGATGAACTGGACAACAGAGGCGCCAGTTCAGAAAAAGAATTATTTTGCACTTTCGGATGAAATAATTGGACAAAAAATTGATATAAGCAAGAAAAGGAAGTTGAGCATGTTTTAGCTTCATTATTTAACCTCCTGAGACCCTGTGTCCTCATAAGTGGACGTTGCATTTTTGTCCATGATACTTTTTTTTTTCTTTCAGCTTTGACCTCTTGGCCTCATAGCGGATGCTATCAGACACTGTGAAATCTAAAGTAAAATGGTTTTATACATTTCCATCCAATCATGTTCTTATTGTGTAATAGAAAAAATGTAAATAAGTCAATGGGACTGTCAGAACAAAATTGTAAAAACATTTAATGATATATGTATCTCATATATCTTTAAAAAAAAAGCTAAAATGCATGCCAAATAAAAGCTCGGGTCTCAGGAGGTTAAGGCGTTTTTATACTATTTTCTGTCAATAATGATGCCTTTTTTTACCCTAAAACCCTTGTAAAAATGCAAACCCCGGATTTATTAAATTGTAGATTAACAGAATATATAAATGGAACAATCTCTGAATTAGTGCAGCCGTTTTATTAGTTTGTACTTCATAGCTTGTATGATGACAAAGCCTGATAAAACTATTTAAATGTTTTTCGAAGTTTTTAAAGAGGTGCTAGGTGTAGATTTAGAATCCTAAATAAAAGATTTAGCTTTTATTTATCATTCCTTTTTTATTACCAAGGTGATGGAGAAAGGGCATTTTGATTTTCCTGTATTTTTCATAAACAAGTGAAATAAATAAAAAAAATCTATGACTAATCACATTTCCCTTCATTAAAACGAACTGTCTTTAATATGATTTAATTTGGCTATATTTGTTATGTTCATCTTATTTATGCATTATAACAACTACTCTTATTCCATGTTGACATCATAAATTATAAAGAAAATTATTATAAGGGCACCAAATGCTCATTCAGGTCTAGGGAACTCAAAACAGGGTCCAGATGAACTGGTCTTGGGCCTCACCAGCTTTATACTCACATTTATGAGAAATGTTTTGCTGTTCAGCAGGTTGGAAAACTGGTTTAGGGCTTGGGCCACCGTGGCCCTGCGGACTTCTGGGATTTGTATTTTCCCGGTGATCATCGGGTCGTTGGAGCCTTCTTTGGAGGGCAGGAAGAAATTCCGATCGGTGTAGGTTTTGTAGTCCAGGAAGGGGATCCGTCCTTCACTCAGATCGCTGGTGTGGTCCTCCATTTCAATCATCAGATCTGTCAAACACCACACCAAAGACACCAAACTAAGCTTAGCAGCCTAAGCCGGTGAAACTTTCCAGCTTGAGCTAGCATGAGAAACAAAAGTGACTTAAGTTTGTTAAACCTTTCAATAAAATTGAAATGCACATGAAATAAAATTGAAATGCACATTAAATAAAATTGAAATGCACATTAAATAAAATTGAAATGCACATTAAATAAAATCTTCATTCACAGTGATCCAGACTATTTCCTGAAATGTTAAACCTGAAATAACTCAGTAAGTTATAAATCAGAGAATCCTTTTACAGAATTCGTCATGTTAAGTTTATTAAGTGGTCAAAGACCAGACTAATTTATCTTATTTGTCAGCTTTTGTCTTATTATCTGGTAAAGCTTTAACTGACTGGTTGCTTTAACCCAGCATTTCTTTGAATGGATTGCAAACCAAAAAAAGGAGAAAAAAGCTATTTAAAACTGAATGTTTGGGTTATCTTTGGGTTCATAACAAATCCACTTTGTTTTGACAAAAATATGAAATGTGACAAGCTGAAGATGTAGATGCTTTAAGGAAAACAGCCATTGTGTCCCTGAACACTATACATTTATGAATATGCAGATTGGGTTTGAAGTCAACAACCTTTTTTTCTAATGACAGCCCTGTCAGCTTTGGCTGAAACAGTCCACTGAACCTGCCAGGAACACCTGAGGGGGGGGGCCAGGGACGCCTGGGCCCAGGTGCTGCCAAAGTGACAACGTTCCATTCTTATTTTTTTTCTCTCCAGGAGAGGGGTGCGACGAGATGCTGACAACTTCCAGCAGAGCGGAAACCTTTGCTAGGACCTCGCGTGAGCGCGCACAGAGGTGGGCGTAAGCGTTCCGAATCAAAACATGAAGCCATCACTCTCCATTAAGCAGGAAGAGGACAGGCAATGGAGATCTGTTCGTCTTAAACAAGGGCGGCATGGTGGTTCTGGTTCAAGAGGGTTTGGGTTGGAGTCCCCGGGGGAACCAGGACCTTTCTGGGTGGAGTTTGCATGTTCTTCCTGTGTCTGTGGGTTCTCTCCGGGTTCTCCGGCTTCCTCCCACCGTCCAAAGACCAGACTAATTTTGCTTATTTGTCAGCTTTTGTCTCATTATCTGGTAAAGCTTTAACTGACTGGTTACCTTTGGTGGATTTCAAATGTAAAACTGACATTTTAAAGTTATAACCCAGCATTTCTTTACATGGAATCCAAACAAAAAACAGGAGAAAAAGCTATTTAAAACTGAATGTTTGGGGTTTATCTTTGGGTTCATGACAAATCCACTTTGTTTTGAACAAAAATATGAAATGTGACAAGCTGAAGATTTAGAAGCTTTAAGGGAAACAACCTCCATATAAGGTTGGTTGGACATTCCAACCTGCCCTTAGGAGTGAATGTGTGTGGTTGTTGGTCCTTGTGTGTCTCTGTGTCACCCTGCGATGGACTGGCGGACCGTCCAGGGTGTACCCCGCCTCTCGCCCGTTGACCACTGGGATAGGCTCCAGTTCTTCCCCATTAGGGAATAAGCGGTAACAATAATGGATAGATGGATGGATGGGTCTTAAACAAGCTATGGTTGAGTTTTCCAGTTTTCCATCCACTCCAAATGCAACCGGAGAAATAAATCATGTGACCTCGTAGCTTTCTTTTCCTTTTAGCCGTACCTGTGAACTCCTTCTTGCAGCGATCTCTGACGCTCTCCTCCAGGTTGGCCAACTGATTCTTCACCTTCTCGTACTCCCGCTCGGCCTGCTGACTCTTCCTCCTGTTAGGAAAGACACGGGGCTCCAGCGGTCAGCCATACGAAACAGGAAGTGGCACCGTGTGAGCCCGTGGGGCTCCCGGGAGCCCGGACTGACCGGTAGCAGTAGACGGACACGGCGATGAAGAGCAGCATGGGCACGATGACGGCGGGGACGATGATGGCCAGAGGGATGTCGTCCTTTCGGGCGTAGTAGACCGTGCCCACGATCCACTCCCCCCGGCCGAACTTTACCTGGAGGGAGGCGGAGAGGATCTGGATCATTCCACTTCCTGGGATTTAACTCCTGTGACTTCTATGAATTTTTTTGCTCAATTGGAAAATGTAACTCTGGTGCTACGTCGTAATTTCTAATGCCTTCATGTCACTTGTTTAATTCTAAACACCTATCCACAAAGAGCCAGTTAAAAGTGATCATTACAAAGATTTGGAGACTATCTTTGTCCCACTGAGCGTCCAACTTCTTTAAGATTCTTTAAGATAACTGCCTGATTAAAACAGTCCTTTCCTTATCTCAGAATCTTAAGCTTCTCTGTTCATTTGCGAACAAAGCCTAAGAAATTCCAGAAAAAATATTAATTAAAAATGCCTCTTTTTGTAATAAAAAAGGGGGCATATCTAAGAAAAGAGAAAGTGCTTTTACCAATAGGTCCAGCATGTCGTTGGTTGTGTCCCTGCGCTGGCGTTTGGATCGGGCCTTTGGCTGCGACGAAGGAGCCTCCAGGAACAACTTATCATCCTATACAGAGTGGACAATAAAAAATAAAAAGAGAAGTGTCAGCACAGAGATGGTGTATTTATGTTTTTATTTATTTATCTTTTTTTTTCCATCTGAGATTGAAAGTGTTGCATAAATGTAGCAAAACAAATGATCTGAAATGCCAACATACAGTAAAGGAAGATGTTATTTTATATTTTTTATTTCAAAGGTAACCCTAACCCTAACCCATAGGGATAGCATGAGTTTTTCATGATATCAGATTAACTTATTCTTTAAAAAAGTGACTTGGATGCTTTTAATGGCCTTTCATCTCAGACTCAAGTCACGTTTTCACCAAATCTGGAACCAGAAGATGCAAAAATTCGGTTTGCTACATGGTATGCTTCACGATACATTGTCGAAACATCATAGGGTCACCTGAAGAGGGGAGACAAGCTCCCTGAACTAAATTTGTGCAAAGTTTTAGTCGTCTGAACGCAGCTGCAGCTTCACTCTGAGGAAAAAATCCTTCTGGCAGAGCTCCGTTTCTATTTACCTGCAGTATGTTGACGTGACAGGAGGCGTCCCCGACAAAAGCCTGGGCCTCGGTGAGCGTCATGGCCTTTGAGAACCCTTCACCCTGATAGAGGCCAGACAAAATGAGAACCCTAAATAAACCACGAGGAGTGAGGATTCAAATTAAGCTGGAATTTTCTGCCCTCACCGTCACCACGATGATGCTCCTCTCCGTGATGACGTTCTTGGCCAGCTCGTCGAAGACGGGGTCCGGGTGGTATTTGAAGCCGGTCAGCTCCTCGACCAGGTTGTCCAGCTGGAGGACGGTCCTCAGGGATTGGCTGTCGCTGCAGTTAGCCACCGACGGCGAGTGGAACACCAGGACGGTGTCGTTCTTCTTCAGGGCCTCCTCCTCGAACTGGAGGGAGACCAACCAGAAAACCGATTCAAAATAGAAACGCCTGGATCAAATCAGCGCAGTTTTCCCATTTGAATCCAAAGTTTCAAACCGAGTTCAACTTTTTCTTTGCGTCCATCTCCCCCCGTGTGGCCTCCCACTGAGTCCCCCCCCCCCGTTTTACCTCCTGAACCAGGAACCAGGCGCACGCTTTTGATGAAGAGACAATTAAAAAGACATCACCTCCCGTCCCCCCGCGGGGACTCTTTCCTGAGAGACTCTGTCACTCAGAGCTCCTCAGGAGTGGAACAAAAGCATCGGCGGGTTTTTTAGAGACTCAGAAAGAGAAACCAGCCGCAGGGTTCCTACACACTCTCCATGTCACGATTCCTTACTTTTTAAGATTCCTCAATACATGTATTAGACCAGAACTACTGAGTATTCTATTCCAAACCAATGATAAACATATGAGGTACTTTCAATTCTGCTAACAGAAGCTACCGCTAATTTGTCCAGGGATTGTATCTATAGACGCTATATAGCTCATACAAACCAGTCACCATGAATCAAACTGAACCAGGATCATGTGGGAATGGAAGACAGGCAGCATCCAACACAAACAGAGTTCTGCTCCCCCAAACGTTTGATGCGTGGAACACTGTTTTGGAGCTGAAGCGATGCCGTGTGAATTATTAAGGACACGAGCCCCTACAAATTCCCATTTGACGAAACCAGTACCAGCGATGAAAAACTTTTTTAAAAACTCGCTAACGATCGCAATCCAAACTTTATGCCCCTGAAATTCCAGCTACCGTTAAGTGGAATCCGACAGACTTCAGAGGCCAACGTGGGTCCCGGGTCCCATCACACTTCAGAAATACGACAACAAGACGTGCAGGCTTACCTTAGCAGGCGTGGTGTTCTGGGAGAAGTCATCGGCCGAGGGTAGGACTTTCATCACAGCCGACTGGATAAGATCGAAGCCGGTTCCCGTCACCTCGATCCTCCGACCACCACTAGACGAAAAACACGCAGAGATGTGGACACTTTGTAAATGATTTCGGACTTTCGGCAAACTTTTCCACCTTCCGATTAAACAGAAATGGAAACTGATGTGTTCTCTTCTTGCGTCTGATTGCTTGACAGCATTTATCACCCTTTGCAGTTACCGGCAAACCACGAAGAGCTTAGATTTTGTTGTTAAAAATGTTGTTTTGGTCACTTTTTGCATTTAAAACTGGAATGACTCAACCTAACAAAACTCAAAAATATAAAATATCCAATTATACTTTATTCCAACTATTATCAAAACTATTTTTTGGTGTTTACACGGGACTAGCATAATAAACTATTCACACTACAGCTGCCCCTGCAGGTGAGTTTTGGCAATGATGGCATATTTCTGAGGACAATAAAAAAAAAAGTTGGAATCTATTCTTAGAAAACCAAAACAACAACATTCTTTATCTGTTCAAGTAAGCTCCATTTAAGCCTCACGCTCAAGTCTTTATACTTCATAAAATGCTTGTTAACGGTGGATTCCACTCAGCAGCACACTGATAACACACTGTGCTGACATTAAAAATAACTAGTACTGAACTAGCTACTGGTACAAATATGCTGTGACTGTCCAGTGATAAAGAAAGAGAAAAAGTAAAAAGATACAAATATAAAGGCAACTGAGCTTTATTCAAAATTTCTCACCATTTTCTGCAGACTACTGACTCGACAACTGCTCAAACTTTAGCCTGAGGCTGCTTCTATTCTATGAATTTCTGAATATGCATGCAAATGATGCATACAAAACAAATGAAGCACTGACAGACATGTAGTTTTTCTAATCAACAGAATGTTCCTGGCCTTCAACAAAGTGATCCAAACTTTGGATGTAAAAAAAAAAAGAAAACCCCTCTTTTATTAATGTCTTCATCCCTTTTCCCGTCACCCAAAACCACCATTTCTCACCAGATGAAGCTGGCCTTGGGTTTATAATCCAGGATCTTGGGGTTGTCGCAGTACTGGAAGGCCATGGGCACGTGTTTTTCCGTATTTTTTCCGTACTTCACCGTCACCGTTAAGGGCTCCGAGGGCACCTTCTGGCCCCGGTACCGGCCCGTCTTACAGGTGATGGTCCTGCCGAACGCCAAGCTGGACAAAAGAGAGAAGGATCATCAGGAACGAGATTTCAGTTCACCAAGGACTGACGGAGAAGAGGGAGCCGGCGTTCTCACACTTCACAGGGAACGCTCCCGATGGTGACGGCGATATCCTCCTTTGTGGCCGTCTCCAAGTCGTCTCCTACGATGGTGATCTCAGTTCCTCCAGCTGCAGGACCCTTGGATGGGTGGACACTTTTTGGTTCGGGATCCTGGAGAGAAAACGTAAAATTAGACTGAAATGTGACACATGTTGTGTACCAGGCCAACCATGAACATGAGAACTACCAAGTGGCTGCAGAAGACATAACACAAATGATTACACTGTGTTTAGGAACGCGTACTGTGATGGTACGACCACAGCCCAGCCTTTAAGCCCCTCCCATTTTAAGTTTAAGAAACTCCGAATGGCTAAGCAGCTTTACCAATCATTCTTTGGTGTATTCATGGATGATCACTTTCAGATCAGATGAATAGGACGAGAATCTAAATGACTACGATGCCTTAAATAGAATCATTTTGGTGACGTCTGGGTACTGAGGACATGGGAAAAATTCAACTCCAGTTCCCGATGGTAACGGTAGAATATACAATATTCACTCTGTTTTTCAAAATGTGGTGATGGATAGAAAGAAAAACAAATAAAGGGAAATTTAGCCGAATTTCTACTGAAACGCATGTTAAAAAGTCCAAAATGAATGATTTGAGGAATTCTGAAGTTAAAGTAAAGTAAATAGTGTGGGGGTTGGGCTCAGATTTTTGGCTTGGTGGGGTTTCATATTTGTTCTCGTTGCTATGGCTTCCAAAGCTGCCAACGCTACAATAAATATCCCCCCAAAGAGAGACAAGAGTGTGCTCAGCCTCTGACAGATGAGAGCACCAATGTCTAAACACTTCAGAAATGAAAGAGCGAGCTCATTTTTTACGACAGCCTCTGTTCCCAGTCAACGGCAGGCCCAAACGAGGGGCTTTTTTCTGGAAGGATTTTTTCCAGCCAACCATCAAACAAATCTCAAGCAAACTCGAGTCGGGAAAAAGTAAACCACGGGCTGTCTTTTTTAAAAGGATGGCTTAGCCATAATGGTGGTTGCTAACTGAGATACTAAACATACTAAACATAACCAATGGTTTCGAGCACTTATGAGAAACAAAACTGGAAAGAGGTGTTTCAGGAGAACTAGTTTACCATCTTTTGCTTCCATTTCTATCCTATTTTTTAAAAAAGCATTCGAAAAGACCCAGCTTTAGGCACATTGCAAACTGAAGAAGTAACATTTGCAATTACCTTGCTCCCCTTTTCTAGTTCCTCTCAGAGTTTGGATCACTTTGTCCCTCATAAAATGTTTTGAGGGGAATAAAGCCCTAGTTACCAGCTCAGGAAAATGAATGACTTGTGTAGTTTTATACGATGACACGATACCATATAGCAGAAATGACGCGGTAAAGAGAAAAAGTTAAGTAAAAAAACATTGATTCATAGCCCAGATCCCTTCTTCAGTTTGAAACTTTTGCCATTGATCTGGCATAATATATTGGCTGGGCTTAGTTCTATAAGATCTTTATTCTGCTCTGATTTGTAGGAGACCTCCCACTGTGGTCCAGGTTCAAAGCCCGCTTCACTCTGAGGTTAATCTACCTTCTGCTTTTCCTCAATAAATTATGAAACACAAGTTTACGGCAACAAGTGGGAGGCGTAATGATGGCTGTCTGTGGACAGTTAGAGGAAAAACAAGAGCCCATCTCAGAGCCCAGCGGCTCATTAAATGTTCATGTCATGACTAAGATATACAAACTTAGTCAAAATAAATGACTAACAAAACATTGTTTACGGAATGACCACATTCTGATCAAAAGAATGAGATATTTAAAGTCCAAAAAGCCTTTTCTATGTATTTAAGGTCTGATTTTTTTGCTATTCCTGGATAATATAAGACGGTAAAAGAAAAAAAAAAGCCTGCAGTGTAGAGATAAAAGAGCTTTTAGACCAGCTCCACACAAACTGACAAATGAATGGATGGTGAAGGACAGCCTAGAAAGATGTAGCCGTTTCAAAGAACGGACCTTAAAACGATCCCGGAGAGTTGGCCACACAAACTGACCAATTCCCGTTAATGCAAAAGTCATCTGATTATGATGAACCCGCGGACATGGATAACAATCTGGTAGCAATGTCCAATTATTAGAAAAATGTAACGGCTCATCTTTCCCCCAAAAAAAAGAAAAAAAAAGATTTTCTGTATGGAAGCATTTCTGAGTAAAACTGTTGTTATAAGGGTCTTTGCCTTGAGTAATTCTCTACCTGAAAAAAGCCAAATGTCCTTGTAGGGTCTATTCACATTCCCTGTTTAGGTCACTTTGTGGCTAATTAGCTCCTTAACACAAATCAAAAAAGTTACTGGTTCGGTATATTGATGTTCCAAGTCTTGAACATTTCTCTTTTCACATAGGGTGAATTACTGAGACATTTTAAACCTCGACTGGTGAATTTTAGAATCAATGCTGCAAAGCTAAACGAGTCATTAGGACCTCTGTAGTTTGCTTTAATTGGCTTTTTCATGAATGCGCTGTTCTGTTTTGAGACGCCAAACAGAACAGCGGGTGAAACTATTTCCGCGCGTTGTTATCTCCCTCCTTTTCGTGGCGTGTGGGGAGAAAAAGCTGCTGGATTTTGAACTCCGTAGATGCTTTTCCCTTTGTCACAGACCTTTTGAGTGTGTGTGGAGTTTGATCTGTGACGTGCACTCTCCCGTGCTGCCACACAAATGTTGACGTTCCCCTCACACTCAATTTAACAATTTCTAAAAACTCCCGGCGCCAGGACGATTAAGTAACATGAATTAATGACCGCGTTTGGACCGGAAAAGAGGGAATTATTATTAAAAGATAAACTTGTGTTTGAGTTTGATCACCGGAACATGATGAAATAAGGAACAAAAAATGACAGATTAAATGAAGCGGCAGAATGCGCAGCATCCCAAAAATAAAAAAAAAGACACGGTTCAATGCTTTTTCAACCCTCTCATCTTCTGCAGCAGAAGCTGAGCTGCTCCTTCATTTTCTGCTGTTTTTTTTTCTTTACACAGCTCTACCTGAACACTGATAACTGAGCGGAATTCACTGCCCACCTCACACGGATCCTAAACCTCTGCATCTCTCAGTTTCTGAATGCTAAATTAAAAAAAAAATGCTGTAAAACCATCTCCTCAGACCAAACAAAGATGTGTGTTTTTAATCCCGAAATCTACCCGGTAACATGGCTGTTCTCATTAGCCTGTGAGCAGATGGGTTTGTGCTTTCTGTAAAAGCCTCCGCTTCCGTTCCAGACTCACCCGATAGGTGAACTTGACCCTGGACACTCCTCTCCGGCCGCCGTCCACCTCGATCTCCACGGCGCCGCTGAGGGAGGGCTCCACCGGGAGGTCGTACGGGGGGGCTTTCTTGGCCGGGCCGATCTCACACACCACGCTGTGGACACAAACAGGAGGCGCTTTACGACACGTCCACCCACATCTGATTAGCATGGTTCTGCTCCAGGTTTCTGCCTGTTAAAAGGAAGTTTTTCCTTGCCTGTGTCGCCTAGTGCTTGCTCATGGTGGTAATTGTTGGGTTTCTGTAATTAACTTCAGAGTAGGGTCTGACCTGCTCTGTTTGGAAAGCTGTGAGACAACTGTTGTTGTGATGTGGCGCTATAGAAATAAGATTGAATTGAATTGAATTGAATTGAATCTATCGGCTCTGAGCTCATCTCAGATGGACAGAAAGACAGTTAACACACGTCCTGGGGTTGTTTGAGTCCAAATGAGTTAAATCTGGAATTCAGCAAGAGTAGATACAGAGTACTCCGACACGCTGCAACAATCTGTATTCTTATTGTTAATAAAAGATGAAGGGGAACAGTACTATAAAAGCTTTTTTTAAGTGCATTCTGCATCAATTTCGCCGGGAAGTCAGTCAGCAAAGATACTAAAAGTAATTTCTTTGCGTTCGTATCCGTTTGAATAATCAGTTTGAACAAATCAAATGGTAGAACGCTATTAGTTTAACAATTCAGAGGCCCGACAATCAGATGGGAGAGTGTTTCTTTGTCCAGTAAACAGCACTTTGAATACGTTTCATTCATCTGGATTATTTCACCACTCTTTGTATTGATGTGTCAAGAGTTTTTTCTTAAACATACCTGTGAATTGATGTTTAGCTAAGAGGAAATCTGCTTTAAAAACAATTACTACAGTGAGATTAAAGCTTTCATCTTAGGCCCACAAATGTAAATTTCAATAAAAGTCCCTTGTAAAATGAGCACAAACAGATAGCAAACCACAGCTTTTCAGATGCAATTTATTTGAGCCTTTAGGGTGAACGGACAGTTTCAGGCTCTCCTGTCTTTACCTGGTAGAGACGGAGTATCTGTCTTCCAGGTGATCGCAGTTCACTCCGGCCACCGTGATCTTTTTGATGTCCTCCTTCTTTATTCCCATGTTTGAGCCTCTGATGGTCACAGAGATCTGACCGTTCAGGGGGCCGTAGCGGGGGATGATCTGCAGCAGGTGGAAGAAAAATAAGATGCTCAGCTAAAAACAGACGGGAACACATTTTCAAAGCGGAAAAATTCCAATGTTTCTACAAACCTGAGCCATGTCCACCGTTCTAAACTGAGGATAAGTTCTTTTAAAAAGGTCTCATTCAGAGAGATACACGACACAAAAGACCGGCAATATAATCTGAGGAGGTTGGAGCAATACCATATTTATTCATTTCTTTATTGTGTTGGTGAGTCTGTCCTATGTAAAGAATATGTTCCATATAATGCCTTGGTGCCTTTTGGCTGTCAAATGGCTTCTCACTTAGACCCTATTAGGCCAAAATGAGCAAAGAAAAAACAGAAATATATTCAAAGTAATTCATAATTTGATAATAGAACAGAATATCTGTACTGTCTCTGTCAAAGAACAATGAAAAGCAGTTTGCCACCTCCCAGTAGCAGTGTGATACATAAAAGTTTCAAATGAATAAAAGTATAATGAGAAATATATGAACAAAATTGAGATGGAGTCAGTCTAAATCAACTTCAAATACAAAACCATGAAAACATTAAATATATACCTATACTGAAATCCTATTGAGCTGGAAAAAAATGGAATAAAAACGAGTTTGGCTCCATACGAGAATCTTTTGGATTTTATGGACATCCCTCTCTGTTTGTAAGGGTTTATATGTCAGCACCAACCCCGGATCTCATGAGGGTTCCAGTCCCAGATCGTGATTATGTCCCTTTTTTATCTGATATACATTAGAAATGCCGGGACCAGTTTCTGAAACTTAAAATTGGCTCGGGCTTTGCTGCTCTGGCTTTTTCCGGCAAAACGCATTAACTCTCAATCCTCCACAAAAGACCAATCTTTCTTTGCAAAACCAAAGGCAGCGTGGGCTTTACAGTGAACGAGTGAAGAGATAAACATGAGCTAAAACACCGGGCGAGAAATGTACACACTTTAATCTTCAAAATGCTTTCCTGGATGTTTGTTGAGCTGAAACTATTTCTGTTTAATATATACGTGCTCCCCTCAGGTAACATTAGCAGGAAACATGGAATAGGTTCCCATTGCTGCATCCGTCTCTGAAGCAAAATAATACAGAACTATTAGCTAAAACAGGCCTGAACTGTGGATGAAAAGGCCTCCATGACCTGTGGCAAGCTCCTATTACATTTCAACAAAACAGGAACTCATAATCCAGTCGCAGAGTTTATTGTAATGGCATCAACTGCCAGGAATCCAAGTTATTTTCGACAGAGACTTCTCCTTGGAAACAAAACAGCCGATCAACTTTGCGATCGCGAGGAAAATTCTGTTTTATTTTTGTCGCACATTTTCCCGATGCCGAGTGTCTCCCGAAAGCTTTTCTCCTAAATCTGCAGCTAATTCAAATTGCAGCCGGGGCGCTGACAGGAGCCATTAAGAGACCGCCCCCGGCCACCTGCAGGAAACAGAAGTCATTTTCAAATCCACCCTTACTTACAAAGCTCTCAACAACCAGTGTCCAACATCCCGAGGTCCTTCTCGTCCCAAATTTTTCCAAATCAAGCGCTTAAACCTTAAAATGCCGGCTTCCCTGTGGTCGGCAGAGTTTCCTGGAGTAAAATTGGGTATAGAGCAACTTTGTAGACACTTGCATTCCTTTTTAAAAAGCTTTTTGACGAGGCCTGGTTAAACTAATTCAGGTTCCCTAATCAGCAGTCCAGCCAAATGCTGAATGAGACATTGGTCGGACTCATTTTTGCTCTCAGGCATTTGTGAGTCTCATCATTCTAAAGACCTTTGCAAGATGTGATGGCTTCCTACTCGTACTGCTTTTTTAAAATTATCTTTACCTGGCTGACTGCAAACAAAGTCGGTGAAACAATGTCTGAACACTTCTCAATTTGAACCCTAAAAAAGTCAAATGTTGGGGCCCAGACTCTAATCAGGATTTGTGCTCCTCAGCCTACTCCGAACAATCTTTTTGTAAATTTAAATGATATTCTGTGAGCAAAGAGTGGGTCAGTTTACTAATTCAGCTTTTTGGAAACTTTCCAAACATTTATGGCCTGGGTAATATTTGGAAAAACCAGACCCAGCTTATTCTCTTCCTCGTGTGGAAGTGTGATGGATTCCACGTGGACTAGTTTAAAATTCATGCCGGCCAATTAGGTAAATGTAGTCAAACACAAGGGGGCATGTGAATATGCTCAAAGCTGCTTGAGAATATTTGTTTCTGAAAATATTCGGCTCGTGTTTGATTGTATTTCTGCATTAGATTTTTTTCTGCTGCAACACAACCCTTTTCTTTTTTTCAACCTTTCATAGTAGTTATCTATCCACAAAAGCGTTCAAATAAATCCCGAAGAGATAGAATCCACTCCAAGTTGCATTTTTAAAACGTAGCATAAATCCGTCAGGATTTGGCCAAAAAAATCTTTAATTTGAGACCCTAGTGAGTAAGTATCACTCAAAGTAAAACACAAAATTGCTTCTACAGGCCTTGTGCCTGTTATCAGCTCTCCTCTACAAGCCGTAATGCATTTCTGTAAAAAAATAACGGACAGCTTCTGACCTAATCAGCTGCAGCCCAGAGGAAATCAAGACGAGCCCTGAAACAAATGACTGATGTTCCGGAGAAAATGGGAAACGTATTGAAGTCGTGCAGCCAGAGACAAACAGTGAATACAATGTGTGAAGAAAAAGAAAACTCAGAGGTACAACATGCTCAGCGTGTTTTAAAAAAAGCTGAAATTGATGGACAGGAGGAGGTAAATACGCTGATGATGATCGCACATGGGAGCAAAATGCTCACAGAAATGCTCAGGATTTTTCCAGGAGACACAACTTATTGCAAATTCATCAAAACAGAACACCAAAATATCAACACTAACTAAATGTAAATGTTGTCAGACATATTTGACTATAGATTACAGATTTTTACTACCCCTACATTTTATTATGACTGAAAATGTAGGGGTTCCATTTGATAGCAACTTGATTATCGCATCATAAAAAAAAAAGAAAAACTCAGTTCAATAAAGGCCACCGCACAGATCCTACCTCAGAGCTACTCCACTGCCCAATTACAGCTAATCTGAACCAAGAGGCTGGACTCCCAGAGCTCTTTCAAAGCCAAAAAACCCACCGCTGACTATAATTTAATGTTCTCCATTCTGCCTCTTTGATTGTTGTCATCTCGCGATTGTCATTCGCTCTCAAATACACAAGAAAATCATTCTGGTCCTCAGCCATCCGTGTGATTGCTTTCTATGTCTGTCATTTCCCTGGAACCGCGGCACGCCGGGAGAGTGGCAGCCCTTTTTTTCGGATAATCCCGCCAAGGAAAAAGAAAACATCGCCGGGAGCAGTTGTGCGTCTTACAGCGACAGATACGTTTTCAGTGCGGTGTTGTGATTTGTGTCGAAAGGCTGCCGTGTGTGACGAGGATACGCACAACACTTCTCCCGAGTCTGTTCAGACTCCAAATCACAGCATCCAGGTTCCTCTGACACTCAAGAGGACACTTCTTGGCTAATTTTAAACGCACATAATGAGTCCCGAAACCTTTTTCCTGGTGTAGATCACTCATTTTTGTTGGTAGCATCGATATTTGACTTGATTTGTTCACATTTACAGCTTCATTACAAAAAGCTACATGCAATCAAATGTGATCTGAACCTCTTTTTGCTTTGATAATGACCAGCAGTTCAGATATTTCTGGAGCAGGGACTAGCTCTCACAGCACACTTGTCTTTGGACTCTATTTAGATACTATACAACATTTGTGACGAAGTGTGAAGTAATCGGCTGCTAACGCCTCCAGCTAACACACGTTCTGACTCATCCAAACACATGTAGTCAGCTCTGAGTGAGGAAGTTGTTACTGTGTTAGGGTGGGTAACGCTGTTCATGCTGAGATCCACACCTCCAACCCGACAACAATCCGGGTCTATAGTAAAATATTCATAAAGCACCTTACATTCATAAAGGCTGTCTCAATTAAATAGAATGAGAGGAATCTAAAACCATAAAATACAGCAAATACAAAAATCTGGTATAAAACATGTAATCAGAGTTATTTCTGACTTGTGTTAATAATACAATGAGCTTTTTCTCTAGCTCAAGAACAAAGTTGTGAGAAAAATCACTTATTTAAACAGCTTAGTGAGGTTTTTTCTTTCTACGGTACACTACACAATATGACTCTTTTATCCTCAGCTCACTGAGTCCTCAAATAGGTTAAAGCTGTTTTACGATGACTGTGTTTCTGAAGATTTCATAACCCAGTTCGAGAGAGACGGTTTCGGCCATGTTTTCTCCTAATCTGACCTGCAGGTAGTGAGTGTAAAAGTTAAGTGCCCTTCACTCAAGCTCACAACTATGATTCACGCTTCAAAAACTTTGTGGGAGTTTTTCAAATGACTTCAAAGAAAAGCATTGAAGTGAGGATTTTATCTGACCAATCAACAGCCGGCGCTGTACGTTATAAACCAGCTCCTTTCAAAATCAAAGAAGACCGAGACGTCAAGAGGGAACCGACCATCAAAAGCCCTGAAAGTTAACACCAAGAACTTAATATGAACTTAGAAAAAAAAGCTTTTACTTAAAAAGGAGAACAGAAAAATGGAGACCACGTTAAAAAATTTTTGGGATCCAGTGAAGACCAGGCGTGTTCAAATAGGAATGAAGGAGGAGGGAAAAAGATAAAATGACTTCTTAATTTAATGGGATCCGATTCCACTTTTGTTTAAACCCACTTTTTGACGTTAGCTGTGCAGGAATAACAGCGGCAAAGAACTCCCTTATCATGGAATCATCTTGGACATCCAAATAACTCTCAAACGTGGACCGTTAACGCTATAACGATGAAAGGAAAAGGACTCACGTCGGATATCTCGGGGTCGGGGCAGTGGGCGGGCGGCGGTGTGGTGCAGATCCGGCTGTAGACGCAGGCCCGGGAGGCCGTGCACCACACGCACTGGTACTTGGCGTGGGCGTGCTTGCACAGGCTGCAGTCCTCCCTCCCCACCGAGCAGTTGTACAGCACCACTGCCACAGGGGAGAAGAAGAAGAAGAAGAAGAAGAAGATTTTTTAGATTTTTAGAAAATCATTTATTACTCAATAATTTAAACATAGAAAACGGTACATAATCAGTTCAGAGAACGCTAAAAAACGCAATAAATACTTACACTAGTAGCTTATTATATCTTAGTTTTCCCTGATCACGAACGGTGCACAATACAATAAAACCCCACAGTTCTAAAAAACCCTTCAGATTCTCGGTGGCTCTGTGGAAACAAAATTCCAATCTCAACCTGGCCTTGATATTGACCTTCCACAGAGCCACCGCGTCGAGTTGAGGTCCAGCCTGCATTTTGTCCCTTCGACTTATGTAAATAGCCATTTTGGCCTCAGCTATTAGATCATTTAAAAGGCGGGATTTAAAACTAGTGGTTCGACTGTGATGAACACCGTTGATAAAAACAGAATTGGTAAAAACCATGCCAAAAAGGCTAAAAAAGTTGGCCAAAAATTTAAACAAAACTAGCTAACCGTACACAGTCTGTAAATCTGTCGCTCCAAATACTGACAGCTCTATGGTGCAGAGTTCTCTTGTTTAAAACTTTTGTAGCGTATGTGTACAATACTTTCGGGTTTGTTCTGCCCAATTCCATCCCCGAGACTGGGCTTTGCAGCAGGGGGCCACTATCTTTCAAGAAGAAGAAGAAGAAGAAGAAGAAGAGAAGGTGAAGCAATTATTCCTAAACCGAGTGGAACCAGGAGGGAAAAGGGCGAGGAGTTTTCACGTTCCTTCTCCTCGTGTGTGCGTGTGTGTGTGTGTGTGTGTGTGTGTGTGTGTGTGTGTGTGTGTGTGCGTGTGAGTCGTACACCCACCTGTCAGGGTGCTGTCAATCTTCTTCCCGGTGTCTCTGTCTTTGACATGAAAGGATACGTTCACCTCCTGCAGCTTGTCATAGGCGAACTGCACACAGAGACACACAATCAGGCTCCCCATCCCTTCAGAGGGGGGGGGGCTACAAAAGGAAGGCAAACGCGACAACGCCGCGTGGCTCCTCACGCCTCCCGCATATATGACAGCAACATGGGGAAACAGAGGCGGTGATTTATCCAACAGGGCAAAAATAGATGCTAAAACAGAATGAAAGGCTTTCTAACGAGCTTTTGTCGGTATTTCCTCTGTTTCCCTTCTTTAAGAATGGCTTCTTGACACCGAGAGCATTTCTGAGGAGGCTGAAGCTCCAGATGCACCTCACAGGTCCTCTGCGCATCCTTTTTAAAGGCCCGGCACATCTTCACATCTCTAGTTTTTAAAAAAAAGGTTTCATGGATACAACCGTTTTCAGTAATTAGCTCTTTGGGAATCACTGTGTCTAAATCTATTTTCTGTTAAACTGTTTTATCTTCAGACACATCAGCTAAAGACACCCGAACAAATGACATGTCTGCTGGTAATAAAGAGCCTAAAGACTCTATTGAAAAAAAAAATTGAAAGTCTACGCTCTGTGTAGACACAAAACTGGTTCATCCCTTGAGTAAGGGGCCTTTTTTCTCCTTGAAGAAGCCATAGGACAGCGTAAAGCAGCCTAATGAAGGATCTGAAAATGCTCTGGTACAAGGACCGGACTGAAATGAGCTAAAAAGAAACCAGTGCCTAAAGGAAAAAATTGAAAGACCTTCAGAAAAGCTTGTCATCACGACTATTACTCAGGACCACTAAAAAACGGTCACAAGAAAGTCTGTCTGCAAAAGTTGGGGCCGGATCAGGACTTAAATAGTGCTTTTGAAAAGTTAAAAACAGTAAACACCCCCCCCCCCTTCTGTTGAGTTCCCAGAGCATGAGCAATACAAGTCGTCACCACAAAAATACCAGATATGCATTAACACAATGTAACAAGACCGTCCCACATATTTAGAGCTCCACATTAAATTACATCCATCCAAGTGTGAAGGTCAACACACACACACACACACACACACACACACACACACACACAGATAAAGAGATGTTTTTGTTCACGGCGTATGAAAAAATTTTTAAAAGAGCAAAACATGGATCAAACGGAGACAAATACCAGAAATAATGAGACGAGAACCCGCGGTGACACAAACCCACATTCTAATTAGACTCTGGCCAGCTCAGCCTCACAGTCTACGGACCAGCAGAGACCAAAGGGCTGAGATTCAGAGTGGAGCCTGCAGAGCAAATGGTTTCGGAATTGTTGCTCTGTTTCCCAGCGATGGCCCCATCATACTTACCCACGCTGGTATAATAGCATGTAAAGCAAATATGGGATTTGAGTCTCATTCCAGCTCTATTTATGTCCTCTAAGCTGACTGGAGCTTTTCTTATTCATTCAACTTCATTTACAGGTTTCAGAGTTTTAAATAAATTGGCATGTGTTCATTTCTGCTCCTTACACACACGTTCTAACGGTAATTTTAGACCGAAAACATCCATTTAATCTTCACTGTAACAAGAAATAAGAGGTGAAATGTCTGAAAAAAAATGAGGATTTGACATAAAACAACTTCATGTTGCTCCAAATTATTGGTTTTTAAAAGAATAAATAATGAAATTCTGCCAAGAAAGTACTCTGTTGGTTTTAGGAAGAGCAGACTTAAATGCTTTATAGTCACAAACAAACTAAAAGCCAGGTTTGATGAAGACACAGTGCTCACACACGAGGTGGAACAAAGTGATATTTCAGAGAAATGGTTCATCGAGATAAAAAAACAAGCACATCTGCTAAGAAGTCTCGTAAGTAGAGTGCAGGACTAACCTGATAGCCTTTGAATTTAAAGGTAGAGTCCAGCTCCTGAATGACCTCCTCCTCCGTGTGTTTCATCAACTCGGTCCCGATGGAGAACCTCCGGCCCTGGACACACATCAAAGACAGCCATTGGCTTTGTGGACAGAAGATACGAAGCGTTAGCAAAGCTAATCACAGCGACCTCACCTCGTAAATTCCCAGGTTTCTCCCCTGGAAGCCGATGGGGATCTCGAAGCCGACGGGGATCAGGATCGGCTCCGGAGACTCGAACTGGGGACAGTTCTCCGACTGTGTGACGGAGAGACAAACAGAGGTGGGTTCAGTGGTCACACAGACCGGCTAAAACAGGGAAGACTGGGAAATGACCGTGTCCTGTCACAGAACCAGACACACAGTCACAACACGCACTGATGTCTGTGAAGTCTCACGAGTAACTTGAACTGCCCTCAACCTGGAGAAAACATCCTAAACACATGACAAGGCTTTTTCTAAAGGCCTTTTCACTGTACATGATCCAGCTTTTCAATACGATTCAGATTCCCGATTTTATACATTCGATTTTTTGTCAGACGTCTAAAATGTTTATTTACCTTAGCATTGCCGCTGACATTTGCCTTATTTTGAAGTAAGTAGTGCTTTTGTCAAACCATAACGCTAAATATGACTTGAATTATTCATTTATTGACCTATATTTGGTCTTTCATATGGTTTTAATTCGATTTAGAACATCTTGAATTTAATCTAAACCAGAGATTAAACTAAAATATTAGATAGAAATAGACAAATGCTCACCTGTTGGGGTTTGACTATGTGACCCCCCTCCACTGAATCGTCCCTGTCGCTGCAGATGTGATCCCGGGCGTTCCACTGACAGCCCCACTGGCTGGTGACACACGCTATGCAGCTGAAAACACAACATGCCTACTCTGTGACACGGAATGGAAACCATGGGAGAAACATCAGACCCCAGACAGGGGCCTTTCTTGTGTCCATTGAAAAAGGGTGACGGAACAAAGTGGAAAACCTTTATGCTGAAAAATATCTACTGGCCCAAGCACCAGCTCCAGCTAATAACCTGGCTCAGGTCCCTATTCCGACAGATTTACGGATGCCAAAAAAGGAAAGAAAACAAAATACTATTTGAAAAAAGACGAGCAAGGATATCTTCTCTGAGTTTTACTCTAAATCAGAAAAAAACATACGCCAGGTGGATTGGGGCTTTTAGACGGTGAACCACTGGAAAGCCTTGTATTTATTCTTTATTCCCCGATAACTAAACTGTAGAAGTGAACCTTGTTTTTTTTAATTTGACGGATTTGATGCTGTGTTGGGTGTCTTACGGCGTGTTTCCGTTTTTCCTGACCGTCGCGGCACAGTTGTAGAAGCTGTACTCTCCAGACGTGACCTCGATGGTCCTGTTCACCAGCACCTTGACTGGGACAGAAACGAAGTCTAAAGAAGCAAAAACAAACACTCAGATTAATAGAAATTCACCACACGGACAACATCCTTTGACCTTAAATAGGTACGAATCGGGGGATGCTGGTTTAAAAAAAGATTTGTTGAAAATAAAGAACAAAATAGTTGAGAACAAACACTCTTAAAAACCTCGATTCATCTCAAGCTTTCATATATAAACAGGCAAATTTCCAAATGACCCTAAATTCAATCAGCAAAGGCTACAAAACCCAACTGTAGATATGTGAACAACCTTTTGCTGGGTGGAACAGAGAATTAGCATTTTTATCACTGAGCCGGAGTCAGGCTGGAATCCCTTTCATGTTCATCTCAGCCTAATAAAAAACGGGATATTGGAGGGGGATCTATAAGAGGATAGATTAGCGGGAAAGTAAATGAATAATTCAGTGTAGGTCTCTGCTTGTGAAAATAAATAAGGAAACGTATATCAAACATTTGATACGGTTTCAGACTAAAGGGGGTGGTTTTAACCAATCGGAAACCACACTTTTGACCTTAATCACAGGAAAAGATTACACTAAAAGGAAATCTGAAACACAAAAGTGCAAAGGGAACAGAGTAAAAGCCAAATTTTTCCCTTTCTGCCTGAACTCGGGTGGGAACTCCCGTGTGTATGAAAGTAAATATGTGCCATCAGAATTTGAATAAAAAATACCTCTGAAATTTGAATGTTGTATATTAGTGCTTACTTTAAAAAAAAAAATTAAATGTCATTATTTGTATATTTAAAAAAAAGTTCAGTGTAATTTTTTTTACATGGTTGCAATTTTCAGTTATTAAAAAAATTCACATTCCTATTTCAAAGTGATCAAATGTTCAATATACATATTTTTCTCAGTTTAAATTTTCAGTGTTAAAAAATTATTGAAAATTTGATCACTTTGAAATAGGAATCTGAATTTTTTTAATAACTGAAAATTGCAACCATGTAAAAAAAAAAATTACACTGAATTTTTTTTATTTTTATGTACAAATAATGACATTTAATTTTTTTTTAGGTTAAAAAAAATTTCCGAATTTATTCTAATACTGAAATAGTAAGCACTACTATACAACATTCAAATTTCAGAGGTATTTTTTTTTAATTCAAATTCCGACGGCACGTATTTACTTCCGTACGCGTGCACCTACCCTGCTGGCGGGGGGTGGGCGGGATCTGGGCGGTGGGGGGCAGGGAGCAGGTGACCAGCAGCGGGCCGCGGGCGTGCATGACGGCGTCGGTGCTGAAGTGGCCGAACACACACAGCAGCTTATCCTGCTCCTGCAGCCGGGGGAGGCTGGGGATGCTGATGTCAACCTGCAGGACGAGCACAAAAAGCAGATTAAAGCAGATCCAAAGCACAAGCAAAGCCACGAGGGAGAGGAAAAAAAGGGCTTCAGCTGGGAAAGTTTGAGCTGGCGGAGAGGGAAAATACTCCTTTTTCACCTTTCCCCTCCTCAGGCTGCACAGATCAACAAACAAAACGTCTTAATGACTGACAGAATGCGTTTTTTTTACGTTTGAATAACAGTAAAAACTGGATGTGACAGAGTAAGTTATAGTACCTATTTGCACTCGGTCTACTTTCTGCTACTTCATAAATCATCTTCGGTTTTTTTTTTTTTTTACATCCGTTATAATGGAATCTGTGAACAAAAAGCCCACCCCATCCATTTCTCACCCTCTTATTTAAACAAATGACAACGACACCCCCCTCTCTGAAAGCTATAAACGCGGAGATCTCCTGATTGAGTAAACAATGGCTTTGCACGCACACATTCTGGCTTAATGACCTTTTCCCGTGTTATTAATATTCCAATTACCATGTTCACACGGGTTCCGTGCATATATATCCTGTTCATATTCCTGTTTACATCTTAATTATAACAGTTTGATCGTGATTCACGTCCTAATTACATTCCGCCGCACAATAGTGATGTGTGTGCACTCATCTAAAGTCTAATTACACTCAGACTCCCAGCAGGCATCTGGTTCTGCTCCAGCTCTGCCAGAGATCGCGCTGCCTTCCAGCTCAACTTGGAATGTAAGACTCCGGAGTCTTAAATACTCTCTAAGGCAAATAAAAGATCCAGGAAGTTTGACTAGATTGGGTAAAATGGGTACAGTCGGTGAGCAAACTGCCCAGAGCTCTGGGTGGCATTATTGGGGATTGTGCATGGTTGTTTGTCTCTGTGTCACTCTCTGATAGACTGGCGACCTGTTCCGGGTGCACTCTGCCTCTCACACACCAGCAGCGAGGTCAGAGCAACCCAATTGCTTTATTTTGGATGGATGAACATGTCTGTATAATTTATAATTTGTTTAAGATTTACACACTCAAATACGCTCGACAAAATGACTAATCACAACACCATTAACCGGCAAATTTCTGTGTGGGTGTTCTGAGGTGAAGGGAATGTGGCCTGAGCCTGTTTTTTTTTTTTTTTTACCCATCTCTGCACAAAACTGCACAAAACTTTGCACAAAACTGCCACTTTGTTCTGTGGCTTATATTCTAAAAACATTATAGTTCTATACCGCAAATTGAACAATCTACCTAACAAATACTTCTAAACTTGAACTTTCTATACACATATTTTGTCATGTGATGTTAAAGGATCTTTATTTGTATCATCTAAAATATGGGTGAGACAATCTGTGCAGATGTGGAACTTGGAAAAAGCCCCCTTCATACAGGGACCACCGTCCCACAGCATCTCTGCTGAGAGCCAATCAGCTCACAAGTTCCAAATAAGTCATCGAACTCGACAAAACCACTATTAACAAAAGCATTTTCTTTCTAATCGGGTCAGTTCTTGGTATTTTGTGCAGGACAGGTGGTTAAACCGCCAACACCCGATTCAATCTCACAGACGTTTCAGACCCAACCAACCATTTCAAAAGGCCACATAAAAACCTGCACACAGCTTGTTCCTAAAAGCTGAACGACTAAAGAAAAAAACGGACAAACTTTCATTTTATGACATCATCTGCTTCTGAAGCAGAAACGGGGAAATAAAACCATCCATCCTTTGAGGACGGGGCTGGATGGACACGAGTATAAAAACTCTAATAGAAGCATGATATTTACTCCACTAATTCCTTAACCGGACTGATGTCAGTGATGGGCCGCTGGTGGCCGGTGGATGTAACAAAAAAAAAAAAAAAAGGCCTGGGAATGTGATGTCATTCAGTCATTTTGGAAATATTCATTTTGGGACCTATTCCTAAGTCACTAGTAAAATATGAGCATGTTATACAGTCACTGTTAATGTTAGCAAGGAAGGCCATTATGGTGAAACGGGTGGGCAGTGATCCCCCCTCCATTTCTTTATGGAAATCGTTAATATCTGATGTTATGACTCTGATTAGACTTGGACATTACATTGATGGAAGTCTTCAATTCTTTACAAATAACCTGGAGGAAGCCACTGGAAACACTGGGAGTGGAATGTAAAATGGACTCTAACGGACAATTGCTATGGACATAGAACTCATGGATGGACTCTTGTATATACATGTGAGATGTAGTGCTGATATTGTTTTTGTTTTTTGACCATTCTTCTACAAAGTTTGTATGTTTGGGAGAAATTAAATAAAAGTAAAAAAATAAAATAAATAAAAAAAAGGCTTGCAAGTGAGACTTTATGTCCAGCGCTCTGACCTTTACAAATTGTGCTTTACTCTGACTGTGTGTGTGCATATGAAAGCGACCGGGGAGTGTGTGTCGCAGCAATAATTGCTATTCAGCTGTGTGAGCTGCTCATTACTCTCTGCCGACCTCGGCGGCTTTAATTTAGCGGCAGAAGTTTTCATTTCAGACCGTTTGATCTCCGGCAACTCCCGAACAAGAGAGGATCCGTGCGGAGCCACCTGTGCATCCCTCTTCTCTTTAAGAATGCAAATTGACGGACACTTTCATTTTAAAGACAAAGTCTGATTGTCTTACGAGATTAAAACCCGGAGCCGAAACGGACCAGGAATCCAAAACTGCCTCATTGAGATGCACAGGATTTTTTCTTTTTTCGTGGCAAAAGAAGACAAATGCCGGTGAGGTGTTTTGTTAAATGAGAGCTAAAGGAATGCTAGCTCAGAATTTTAACGCAAACTTGTAGAATCCCTGGTTATCTGTGCCTGCTTTTTAATACCATATTGTCTATGATCCCTGAAAATCTTCTGATTTCTCTCTACAAACTTGACTTTTATCCTCCCACTTAAAGAATTTCCTCGCACCTGGCTCACCTTCTGTCTTATACTGGAGTGCGATGATGAGAATAAATGTTGCTAATGAGCAGAGCCTAGTCAGGAGCAGTTTTTTCCCCCCCCGACAAAAACGTATTCAACAAGGCAAATCAAATGAATACGAACTCATTTCGTCTTGCCGTGAGCTCTCGTATTTCATAATTACACCTATACATTGACAGAACTCGGTCTCGGTTGTGCTAAAACAATATTGCCATTTAAATTCAGCTGCCTGGAAGGAGAAATCGGAATCTTTAATTGTCCAATGAAGAGGCGGGTTTTGGCTTCTTACTTCTTGGCCACTAGGATGCAGTGTAAGCAAGTCTTTTCTTTTCCTTTTTTCCAAATTCAAACAGCCAGAGGTCACAGATCAGCATCTTCTTCATCTTAATTGTTTGTACGCACGACACCATATAAGGCCAATCTTTGGTCTCCTTCAACCTCTGAGGCAATATCTGAGTACTAAATAACTAATCGGTTCAGCTATTAGCTGAAAAAAAAAAGGGACGGAGAAAGGAGGAAGGAGAAAGAAATAAACCGAGAACTAAAAAAACTGCGATGAGTTCCACACAGCACCTTAAAACAATACAAATACCACCAAATCTGATCATGTGAGGCCAATTTTGTTGCATTAGAGTTGAATTCCGAACCATCAGTCAATGCTCATCCAATTACCGAACTTTTACAATCAAATCACTCGTTAAATCTATGTAAGCAAAAGCTCAATTCATCAGATGATATACGGTGGATGCCTTCTATAAAATATTAAAGGTTACAGATAACCCCTTTGTGGATGTGAAAATGATATTAGGGGAAGGTTTAAATCAATATCAGTCAATAGACAAGCATCTTTCCAATGTTGTCATTTAGGATTAGTCTTGAACAAGTGATCGCATTACAACTTCTGAAGTAAACATACAAACAAAATGGCGTGAAACGCGGCGTGTTTACGGCTAACCTTTAACAGGATTCAGCCGCTCATCTATTTGCATAATTTTCTTAGAACCTGATTTGATTGCATTATAACACATCCTTAATGATGTTTGGGTCCCTGATCACGTCTGATGAGGATGAGGATGACTGGGGGCCATACCTCCACAAATCCTGCATTCTTGCGCTGAATATCTTTCTCTCCTCAGAAATAACCGGGAGGATTGTTTTTCCCTCCCCGTTTCATTCAACCTTTTGAATGCTAAAACCATACTGACGCTGTATTTCCGATTAAAGGTTGTACTAGGAATTCGTAAAATCGGAGCGAATGAGCAGTAAAAGCTGCAGACGTGTGATTTGTGAGGGTGTCTGCTGAAGGACTGCCTCTCTTTCCGGCACATCGGCTCTTTGATCAATTCCTCATTAATTCACCCAGCTGAGCCGTCAAGCTGATGAAGCTCAGCATCCTCCGCTGGAGCTCAGTAAACTGTATCAAACGCCTGCCACCACCGTTTGAAAATGACATTCATTTGGGTAAAAAAAAACTAAACAGACGCCACTCTTTTTTTCTGGGGACCAGAGGGGAGCCAAAGGTCATCTACCGCTGCCGGTTTAGGCCAGGAGTGATGTGTTTCAAAGCCCGAAACCCGAAATAAAGTCAAGAGAAGCTCCGTATTTGACATGCAGTCATTTAGTCATGGCGGTCGTTCAGGGCCGAATGCTGACCAACTGTGTGGCCAGCCCTCTCTACTCTGTGATGGGTTTGACTTTAGGTAGGAACACAGTTTAGGATGAAGACCTCAACGATCTTTTTTAATGGGAGAGTAACACATAAGAGCACCAAATCGGCACAAAATTGGCACATCTACACAATTTCAAGCCAAACATAAATCATCTAATCTCTGAAGTTTTAAGCATAATAAAATGCCCTCGGTATTCTAGATATCAAGGTAAAGTTGAGCCTTTTCAATTGGATAAAAGGTTTCATATTTAGCCGTTTTTCTGGTGTTAATTCACCAAAATCTGAACTCAGCTTAGGGCAACTTTCCGTCTGTCACCTGTAATTTAAACTCTACTGAGCTATTCTTGTTTTGCACAGTTGAAAAAATATTGCTGATTATTCGTATCCGGCATCTTACCACACATAATCAAAGGCCGGACGTTCAAAAACAGTGAACTACAATGCTGAATTTTCATATGTAAACCGGGCTGATTCCATACTTTTGTAAACTTACTGTCAATTACCGGCCGACTCTGTGAAAACCGCAGCAACTGGAACCACCTTCCGCCGCAACAAAGGCCGCATTTCATCCTAAATCAAGCTGCATTGTTGGTTGGCGCTGTTCAGATCTTTACACGATCCGCTGGGAAAAAGCTATCAAAGCACTTTCTGGGCGGGATATATTTCCGGGGAAGCAAATTTTTTTTTTTTTTTACTTCAGAGCCTGAATCAGCCGGCAAACAACAGAGCTGTTTTCAAAGGGGGCTACCAGGAAAAAGAATGAAGCAAAATATGCCCGACTTGTAGATAGAAATTGTAAACCCTAATGTTGTTCAGCATCAGAGTAACCACAGAGGTCCTAAAAGGGGAGGGAACCGTTTCATTCCTCTCTGACAGCAGTGGAAGAGATTCTAAAACTCGGTTATAACTCCGGGGATGACTGGTCGTAGATTATACCTGCTGAGTCTTCTTACAGCTGATGTTCATGGGGCTGAAGGCCTCGATCTCCACACACTTCTGATCGGGTGACCACAGCCAGGTGTTTCTCTCCGCCGACCTGCCGCAATCCTGCTTTCTGGTACACCTGGGAATTAAAAAAAAACAAAAAAAAGAAGTGAAACTGGGCTAAAGATCCAACTTTCAAATGAACGTTTAATGAGATTTACAGGAGAAATCAGGGCATTGCTTATTTGTTTGATTGACAAACTGCTAATGAAGGGGCAACTGGGTTAGTTTGCATTAAAAAAAGGTCCTAAATGAGACTATAGAGATGACAAAAGGGCGACTGTTTGTGAGGATACCGACATCATTTTAGTTTCTTTTATTTTTTCCCCCAAAACAAGACCCAGCTCGTCCACAAACTGTCACTTTCTCAGCCACAGAAGGTGTGGAACTAGCTCCCCCCCGTGACAGGTCCCGCTAGCCAGAACTTCCATTATCTCAGCAGTGGGTTGCTTTTTCTTCCCTCTGGTATTTGTTGCCCAAGACTGTGTATAATTGAGTAAAACAAAGAGTGGAACGCGGGAAAAAAAAAGAAAAAGAAAAAAGCCCTCGTTTAGCTTTCCAACTGCCAGTGCGGGTGACTCACTTTCCCTCCAGGACACACCAGCCACAGTAGGGATCCTTCATGCTCATGCAGGAGGAGCAGTCGGTCTTCAGATGGCAGGCTTGGACCGGAACCTTGGTGATCTGGACACATACGATAGGGCTTAAACAACATACATGCCGGTATAGGCCCGTTTTCTGCTTTAGACTTTGTGCTGAACCTCCCGTTAGCCGTTAGCCGTTAGCCTCAGTCGAATTATCTCCGGCCTACTGTCATCTATCTCCATCTTTGTGACTGCTGTCTGCAGGGCTTTAGCTCTTGTGCATGGATTTAATGGATGCTCTCTCCAAACTGTACCCCACACGTGAGATACAATCGACGGGTCCAGGAACAGGTCTGTAGATCAACCGCCCTCGTTTTTTTCCGTTAGCACGTTCAAAGCTAAATAAATCCATCACGGCAATCTGAAATTCTTATTGTGGTAGCGAACTTCTTACAAGCAGTTGGGAAATAATTCTCCTCTGAAAACAAGAGCTCGGCCTAATAAATCTAAATGGAACACGCGGAGCATCGTCACTTGACTCACAACAATGCAAACTGCCCTCTTGAAGTTCTCCGTAATTAATTCATTTCTAAATCAATAGCATCTATTCGGCCAAGGTGTGAGACTGCGGTGACGGATGGCAACCGAAAGATGAAAGGACAAAGGGGAAGAAAGACAGATGAAGGAAAAAGGCGGAGTGGAAAACACGGGAGGCCGACACCGAAAGAGTGAATAAATCACCGGGCGGCCGCCGTGTTGTAATGTAGACGGATGCCTAGGTGCTAATCGACCGAATGAATAAATGATCAAATAAGACGGGGAATAATTGAAAGGGCTCATTAAGTCTGCGGCCTGATGGATGAAATGGAAAAAAAGCAGAAGTAAGCACACAACAGCATCCCTGACCTTCTGCTGTACGTGGCCATCGGACGGATGGAGGAGGACAAAATGGATTTTTGTAAAAAAGAATAATCGATTCTGAGTCTGACCTTTTTCTCGGTGGTGACGTACAGGTGTTGGAGGCTGGAATCCAACAGCAGGTTCTTGTTGACCCTGTCTCCCGGCCCCTCGCCCGGCACTCTGGAATACACCTCAGGCCGAGCCGACAAGTGGACCTTCAGGAGCTACAGAAACACAGAAACGCCATTACCGCCAAGCAAACGCATCCCCCACCGACCATTTATTCCCTCAAAGCTGCTTCTAAACTCTGAAAGATGCTTCGAGTGTGTGTGAGTGACCTGAAAGCAAATAAAGGCAGAAAAATGCATTTTTCTAGTAACTAACTGAATGATGCCATTATTTGCTGGGAATGATTAAAATGTGTTTTGGTTTAATTGGACAGTCAGCATGATTATATGGGATTCCAAATCATCCTGTCTTTTTTAATGTTCTTTATAAATATACAGTAGCTTAACTCATTAACTCACTTTATTGTTACATATTTTTTTTATGAAGTTCTTCCATGCTGATGGAAATTTGAAAAACAGGTTCTTTTCTTTAACATCATATGGGATTTACATACATTTCATCATTATATTATATTAAAAAACGTTAGAATATATGGTGTTAAAGAAAATAAAAAGTCTTAAAATGACAAAGTCTTCTGGATTGGCTCTGAAGATACAATTACGTGAAATCCAGCGTGGCTCTTTTTAAATGAACTTGCTCAAAAGCCGAACTCGCTAAAGGTACGGATCAAATGGGAGTTACCTCTCCTGTGGCGGTGCCCAGGAACGCCACGGTGTGCCCCATCTCCACAGCCACGGCCACGGCCGTCATGTGACCCTTCCGGACCACTAACGGCTCGGACGTTAAGGCAAACTCGGCCTTGCTGGCCAGCGGTGAGGGCAGAAACTCTGCCCCACACTTGTATTTAAGCGCCATGTAATTCTGATGGGGCAGAAAAACAAAAGTATTAAGACCGAGTCAGAGTTCTCCATCAGTTAGATCCGGGTGACTCCTGCGTACCTGATTGTTGCTGCTGCACAGGTCCTCAGACTTGGAGGAATAAGGCGAGTAGACGGCAGGCTTATTTTTGATGATGCCGTTGTTGCTGTAGCAGGCTTCAATTATCCCCATTATTTTGTCATTGATGAAGTCCAAAGGGTACATACCTATGAAAACGAGAGAAAAACACAATACGGGAACATTTCAGTGTGTTTATTTTGTAGTCTTTCTCTTAAAAAGATACACTTTTAGAATTGAATCCGTAAAAGTTCTTCTGTTTATTATCTGGGATCGTTAAAGGCAGCACAGGTAGATATAACCGGCCTAAAATGGTGGCAGAAATGCTTGTGGCGTGGTGTTGATGTCACATCTCAGAATGGTAAGGTGTGATTCGGAGGGAAAAGGTCAGCTGTGGTGTCGACTGCTTGCCTAATTCATGATGCATCATCAAGCATTCATAAAGAACAAAGAAAATAAATGAGCAAATTTCAAAGGCGAGAAAAACGGGTGTCTCCAGAGGTGGTCTTAAAAGGACTGCGAAAATAAACCATGCAGATTATTGGTGCCTAAATAGATATTTTAGTCTGAAAAGATTATATTAAGAATCAATCATGCTATGCCTTAGACATTTAAAGCAGAACTTATGTGACATGTATTAAATATATGTGATGGTCGCCCTTTTTCGAGATGCAGGTGGACATTTTTCGGGAAAACAAAACCATATACGGTAAAATGAAAGGCTTTTGGCTCCGCTCTGCTCGGCTGCAGGGTGCACATTTCCAGGACTGCCGATGATACGTACACAAGGCCGAAGTGGACGAGTCTTCATCAGAAGTGAAGGTGACAAACAGCACCTCGTCACCGACTGAAAC